ACAAGGATGTCCACTTTCTCCACATTTGTTCAATACTTCTAGAACTTTTAGCTAAAACAATTAGGCAAAAGAAAGAAATTAACTGGAAAGGAGGGAGTCAAATTGTCTGTTTGCTGACGATCTGATTATAAATGTAGAAAAACCTCAAGAATCCACCAAGAAGGTCAGAACTAATAAACAAATCCAGTAAAATAGCAGAATATGAAATCAACATATGAAAATTAGTATTTTAGAATACCAATAATGAACTAGCTAAAAAGAATCAAGAAAGCAGTCCCATTCTCAATAGCCACAAAAGTGAACAAATAAAACAAAACAAACTGAGGAATAAATTTAACTGAAGAAGTGAAAGATTTTTAAAACATAAATTATGAAGCAATGATGATTATAAACACATAAATAGAAGGGAGTAACCCATATTGCTTACTGAGTGACGCAACCATAGTCAGTACTCCAGCCTCACAAATTTGCCAGGGAAGACCCATTAGCATCTTCACCTTACTTAGGCTCAGGAATGTTAGGGCATTCGCCTAAGCTTCTAGAAATTTTAGATTAAAGATTTTAAACCTATGAGCCAGCCAGTGGCAAGATGGTTAAGGTGCCAGATTCTCACAGGGCCAACTGTGGTTAGAGTACTAGACCCGGTGGCTTGAAAATCATACCAGGAGTGTGTGCGTGCATGCCCAAAATCCTGAGAGAAGAGTGGAGGAGGGATTGCGGTGTGGCTTTCTTCTCAGGGAATGATTCTTCACTTCCCCCTCAGTCATTCTACACTGAGTACACGTGACCTACAGCCAAAGACTAAAGATTTTAAACCTATGGCTCTCCACCACTGAAAATCAGAGAGGTATGGCTGTGTGTCTTTACAGTCAGATGGTTTATCTCAGTGGTTCTCAGTCTAGAGCGAAACATCAGGATCGCCTACAGCCCTTTGTGAAATACTGACCTCTCGGTGCTACACCCAAAGTTCTTTACAGTTTAGCCCTGCAATGGGACCTGAAATGCCTCTGCATTTCTCACACGTGCTGGTGATGCCGATACACTTCATTTGCTAGTTTGAGAGGACACTTCAAGGAGTATTTTATTCTTTCTTTGGGCTTCTAACCATTATGCAAACCTGCCTTACTGGAAGGCAAATAGTTAATTAAAAAAAAAATGTAGGCAGAATGAAGAGAAAGATCAGAAGGAGAAAGTAATGGTGGACTGATGAAGACCCCTAGAAACAAACTTCATCTGTTTTCTGTACTGCTGGCACTGGCCTAAACTGTTCATAAAAAACAGGATGAGGGACCAGCAGGTGGTGTAATGGTTAAGGCACTGGACTTCCATATGGCTGACTGTGGTTTCAGTCCCAGACCTGGCAGCTTGAAAATCACATTGGGAGAGCATGTGTGCATGCATGCATGTGTGCCCAAAATCCTGAGAGGCGAATGGAGAAGAAGTGATTGTGGCATACCCATCTCCCCTGGGATGATTTCTCACTATCCCTCTGTCTCTGTCTCTCTGGCAAGTGCACATGCCCTATGGCAAAACTTCATTTAAAAGAATGATGAATACATTTTTTAAGAGAGATTTTTGCTATAGGGTGTGGGCACTCACTAGAGAGACAGAGACAGAGAGACAGAAAGCAAGAAACCACCCCCCCAGAGAGGATGGCCACACCGCAATCCCTTTTCCTCCATTTTTCTCTCAGAATTCTGGGCATGTATGCACACATTCCCAGAGTAAATTTCAAGCCACTGGGTCTGAAATTCAAACCTTAATCAGTCATGTGGAAGTCCAGCAACATAACCATGAAGCCATCTGCTGGTCCCAAAATGAATAGATTTTGTTGTAGAAATCTTTCCTAGTTATGGTCTGGCAGGGCACCATTTACGATCCTTGGAGTTGTGGCCACAGTTCAAGTTATAAGTAGGTTCAGGATGGGACCAGCAGATGGAATGATGGTTACATCACTGGACTCCCACGCAGTTGACTCCCACGTGGTTCGAGTCCCAGACCTGGTGCCTTAAAACTCACATTGGTGCATGCGTGCCCAAGATCCTGATTGGAGAATGGAGGAGCAGGGATTGTGACATGGCCAAACCCCCTGGGGGGGGGTGGTTTTTTGGTTTCTGTCTCTCTGTCTCTGTCTGTATCTCTGGTGAGTGCATGCATTTTATAGCAAAAATATCGCTAAAAACAAACAAAAAACAACAAACAAACAAACAAAAAACAGAAAGAAACTAAGTTCTGGAATAAACCAAAAGCTAGGCTATAGGGAAAAATACACACACTCAGATCTATCAACCAACCCTGCCTTCCCATTTTACCACATCATCATCTTAACTACTCTCTCTCTTAAGCAAGTCTCCCTATCCTCAGACATTCCGGTCTCTAATTTGGAATATCAATTTCCCTTTCTTGTGCTTCATGGAGAAGACCACCAGGTTGTGGTTCTGACTTTTTAAAACATGGTGTGAGTCTACAAAACTATTTGTAATGTAAGAAGTGGTTGTGTAAGCTCAACACACTGCCTCACATAGAACAGACACCCCACAGACATCTGTTCAATATATGGTCTTAAAGTAATGATAGCAATTTTAGGAACTTCCTTTGTATCTTTAAAGAATATCATACTCATTACCAATGATGCATTTGCTGCATAATAAGTATATAATAGTTGATTAATGAATACGCAAGTTAATAAATCCTTTAGAGTGAAGTAAATAAGAAATGAAATTCAAAGACACACTTTTTAAAGTATATGGCTACTTATTTCCACCAAGATCATCAATTTAGCAGGCAAATGGTTATACATTTGTTAACTTTTATATTTGATCCACCAGCATTTGCCAAAATTAGGTCGATGGGTCATGGAAGATACACATCCACAAAAATTGTGACTGGTATTTGGATAAAATGTTCTAATAGTTAAGCATTTAAATGACATTAGGAAAAATATGTAAATCTATTGGGTTGTCAGAAAAGTCATGGTGTATTTTCTCAAGTTCCTCTCTGCAGAAATGTGTTAAATCTATAATTTGATGAATATTATTTCTTGGCACTGGACTTATATTTGGGAAGTGAGTTGATTTATAGAAAAGCATTAAGAGAATAATAAGAACACAGATAACACAATGGATGAAAGTAGTTGTTAATGACGGAACATTAATGCCCGAAGCTGAGAAAACACTGGTGTCCACCCGTGGAGAGAAGGAGCCTTAACATCAATGTGGGCAGTTTGTTTTGTTTCAATTCCACCATTTAAAAGTTTCGTGGCAGGGACCAGCAGATGTCATAATTTTACATTACTGGACTCCCACATAGTTGAATGTGGTTTGAGTTCCAGACTCAGTGGCTTAAAACTTATGCTGAGCACGTGAGCATGCGCGCCCAAAATCCTGAGAGGAGAGTGGAGGAGAAGGAACTGCAGCGTGGCCATCCTCCCTTGGGGGTGATTTCTCACTTTCTGTCTCTGTTTCTCCAGCAAGCGCACATGCCCGATAGCAAAAAATCTTTCTTAAAAATAAACAAAAACAAAACGCTCATACCTTTGAAGAAGTTGAGTACATTCTTTGAGCTACAGGTAAACTGTGACAATAATTCTTACTTCAGAGGTTTTTGTGAAGACAAAGTAAAGCTAAGTAAATCTTCAAGTAGAAGCCCTTATGTGGAGCAGGGGCTAAATTAGCAGCAGCTGGAGACGGCAGTGGATAATGGTGGGGAGGTAAGTGGTGGACGTGGTGGTGGTGGTGGTGGTGGTGGTGGAGGAGAGGGTAATGATGATAACGATGGTGTGAGGTGGAACTGGCTGACCGGTCATGGTGGTCATGGTGATGACAGGGTAACGGTGGGGCTCGTGATGGGGATGGACTGTGCCTGGTGACATTCTTAGTAACTCTGGTGGCTGTGCTGCTGCTGCTGCTGATCATGCTGGTGACAACGTTGGTGTAAGAGGAAGAAAGGCATGATGGGAGTAGAGAGGGGAATCCATGATTTCCATGTGTCCAGTGTCTAAAACTTTTTTTAGACATATTTCTCTTTGGATACTGAGGATAAACCAACTTAGAAAAGATTCCACTTTTTAGTGAGGTTGAGATTATAACACTGGGGCCAGCAAACGGCATAGTGGTTATGTTGCTGGACTCCCACAGGGCCAACCTCAGTTTGAGTCTCAGACCTGGTGGCTTGAAAACTCATGCCTGTTGCGTGTGTTTGCCCAAGTCACTAGAAAGAGAATGGAGGAAAAGGGATTTTGGCATGGCCATTCCTCTGAGGGGTGATTTATCACTTTCCCTCTCACTGGTTCTGTCTGTCTGTCTGTCTCTCTCTCTCTCTCTCTCTCTCTCTGACATGTGCATGCACCCTAAGGCAAAGACCCCTAAAAAAAGAGAGATTGTAACACAGTCAGTGATGCAGTTCTTAACCAAGTGAAATAAGGTTTTCTTATCTCTATATCCTGGTCTTTTGCATTTTCCCATTTATCTATTTTACTATTGTAAATGAAAGACTTGACCCCCCAAAAATCATCATTAAGATTCTTCAAGATAGACCTTGAATTTTTACATTTCAAAAAAGAAGGCTAGGTGACAATAATAGGTCTTTATGTTTTTATAATATAAAAGGTGTTTGATGTATTTTTGGAGTATTGAAGAGTTTAAATGTACATTAAAAGGGAATATAAACAGGATGAGAACAAAAGCAGTGATTAGCAGAAGGTAAAAATCGATTACTCCTAGATTCACTATTAGGGGTAAAGTCTTCATCTAAGGAAGAGGAATTTTCTTCCTAGGATATAATCAAGTGGTATTTAAACCAGGCATGGCCTACAGAGGATAAGCCTGGATAATTCGTTGACAGTAAAATTGCCACTCCATTATCATGCCAAACAACTGACATTTTAGAGATAGCCCAGACGCTAACCCTTGGCCTCAGCAAACCAAATGTTTATCCTTCTGTTAGGTACACAGACACATCACAGAATCTTAATGTAAGTTTGAAATCACAAGCAAACATACCTTCACAAAACCAAGACTGCATAACTTGGCTTTCACTCCAAATTGCCACTTGCACTGAGTGTCTGCATCGTAAATCTGTCCTGGTAGTTTGTCTGGATATTTATACTGTCCTGTTTGCTTGGGCTCATCCACTAGACATCCAGCCTGAGGTGTACTGCAGCGACAACACAACTTTATTAGTTACCGTGCCGATGTGTGATCTTTCCAATTAAACAACACACCTCTGGCGCCATCCCTGCAGCCCAGTGGTGAAGGGAACTGGAACCCACAAGGCCTACCACGGTTCATATCCTAGCCCTGGTGGCCTGGAAAAAACACGCCAAGTGCATGTGCATGAGGGCTCCAAATCCTAGCAGGATGGAGAAATGGAGGGGAAGAGACGGCGGCAAGACAGTCCACTGTGGGTGCTTTCTCCTGCTGCCTCTTTCTCTCTGGTGAGTGCGTGTGCCCTCTGGCAATTAAAACACACACATTTCCAAAGGCATTTACACTAAGAAAAATATAACATGATTAAAGAAATGTATATGTCTAAAGTCAAAATGTATGTTTATTCCAAAGAGTAAGTCCACTCTAAGGGGATGAAATGTACACAGCCACAAAGAGTTTGATGGGGTACTAGAATTTCCAGCCACCCCCATGATTTAGCTTAGGACTTGATAGGAGACGGGAAAGGTAATATGTATTGAAAACTCCCTTTGACAGACTGGGCTTGTTCAATGGTATTCCACTAATTTTTATGGAGTGCCTACTGTGTGGAGGATATCAGGCTAAGCACTGGAGGTACAAAATAAATCACAGAGACACTACCTGTCTTTACAGAGTGTTAAATTGCATTGTATTGTTTACAGATGGCGGGGCATCTTTATCTCAAATAAGCTTCACAGCAAAAAGAAATAGGACTATTCAAAAAAAATGATACACTGGTGCATGAGCAGAAAAAGTTTCCCATGGTATTTTGGGATGTATTGAGAACAAAAGTCACTCCTGATGGCATGGATATCCTTAAAGTATCTTGTCTCCATTTCCTCATATAAGAAAACTATGGTATCACTGAGAGGTGAAACAGCATGGTGGATACGTGTAATTTTGGTGTCAGAGGTATGAAGGTCCTAGTCAATCAGGTGACCAAAGCTAAAGTGTGTAAATGCTATATTCCTCTTCAATAACAATCCCATAAGGACTGTTACACAAATCAAACAAGAATGTATCTGTGGGCCAGCTGGTGGTGTAGTGGTTGAAGCAGCTGCATCTCACATGGCTGATGGCACAGTTCGAGTTCCAGAACCTGTGGCTTTAAAAACACTCAGGAACAGCAGGTGGTATAATGGTTGCATCTCTGGGCTCCCATGTAGTCAACCATGGTTTGAGTCCTGGACCCAGCAGTTTAAAACTCATGCCAGGTGTGTGTGCGTGTGCATGTGAGTGTGTTCCCAAAATCCCGAGAGGAGAATAGAAGAGATGGGATTGTGGTGTTGCCTTCCTCCCAGGTAGGGTATGATTTCTCACTTTCTGTCTCCCTAGTGAGCACATGCGCCCTATAGCAAAAATCTCTCCATTAAAAAAAAAGAAGGAAAGAAAAAAAAAAAAAACACACATGCTGGGCACGTGTGTGCATGCCCAGAATCCCAAAATGACAATGGAGAAGAATTGGGGTGTGACTATCTCCCATGGGGGGGCTGCTTTCTCACTGTCCTCCAACCCACAGCTGTGTCTGGTGAGTACACGTGCCCTCTAGCAAATACATTTAAAACAAACACACAGAAAGCACAACAAAGAGAAAAAAGTCATTTGATTAACAAAACACAGTATTTAAAGTTAGCTGCTGCTATTATTAATGATGACATAATCATAATATGTAATCATTATTATCCAAAAGCATTTAACTATAGTATATTAATGATGGAAACTCCATCTATATCAAGTTTGTCTTGATTTAGAATATCTATTGATTCCATTCTCCCATGAGTTAGAAAGGGTAATTTCAGTTCCCAAATCATGAATTTCAAACTAGTAAGAAAATCTATGTGATAAAGCTTATTAGCAAAGGGCTTGTCAGCTTTTTATTGTCCATTGGCCATCATTTGTTCAGATAACTTACATCTGCCCCAGCTATGCATTGTGCTAATTCTGTGAATGTTTACAAATAATACATGGTGGTGTAGGTTAATGAAAGTATCGAGAATATTAATTCCCACTGAGCATTTGCCTTCAGGTCTACTGAAGGTACCATTCCCTATCAACACTGCAAACTCGGGAACACCTGCAGCTTTAGCCCATCTTACCTAAGGAACTTCTTGAGATATTGTCGGCTGCATGAAGACCATGAAAACACCCCATTGTTTCCAGTCAGGGTGGGGGACATGATATTACCTTCAGCCTTTCTGCAGGGATTGCCTTCTCCATCATGAATCATGCCAAAACTGAAACAGAATGAAAAGAACAGACACCTTTTATGCATTCTTTTTCCAGGTTATAACCAGGGGAAGAAAAAAGACACACTGAGAATCAACAAACCCCAGTGTAAGGCAGAGTTACTGGAATTGTAAGAAACAAACCACAATAAATAGTTGCAAAATTCATGTACCAAATTTTACAAAATGCTAAGAGCTGTATTATAATATGTTCTGGCCACAAAATCAAAGAATGGTGTTCCAACTACATTTTCTTTAATCTACTATAGTGTGTATGCGTCCATGAGAGAGAGAGAGAAAGAGAAAGAAAAATTGAGAAAGCACTCCCTTCCGAATGTTTGTGCCATTATTTTTCTCCTCCTTTTGGGATTTTAGGCAGGCACACACATGCACCTGGCATGTTTTTCAAGCTGCTAGGTCTGGGACTCAAACCACTTGATCCACCATGTGAGATCTAGCTATTTTAGTCACCAGGTAGTCAAGTGGACTGGCTGACCTGCTATGTATTTTAAAGACTAGAAATTCTGGTCAGAATTCTAAGCTAAACCAAAGTTAATGGGGTGGTCAAATAAAAAAAAATTAATAGCTAAATTGTCTTGTTGCCACCAATTGTAAAACTACAGAAAGAAATCCAGCGTGAGTAGGAGGTAAATGCAGAAACAATTGATTATGGACTTTTCATACATAATGCCGTGATATAAAAACTAACAATGTTCCATTTATAAGCTGAAATCATAAATTCTGATGATACTTAAACTTGTTGAAAAGTATAAATATCTTCCACAATTAATGGTTGAGTCTATCTATTGAAGGTATATAAAAACCTTCTTCAGAATGCATTGCATGAGAAGTCTCTAATTTGTGCTGTTTCACCACAGAAGGTTATAGAAGTTATGTAATAAAAACAATTTTAGGTAGTCTACTCCCTAGAAAGCACAGACATTTTATCTAAGTGATTTCTAATCTCCTGACAAGTCGAATAAATATCACGTTAATGTCTGTATCCACATAGGATACACACACTATAAAGTCAGAGCTTACATCTATAAAGTCAGAGCTTACATCTCACTATAGTTATGCGGTAGTGAGTGAGAAAAAAGATTTTCTGATCCAAAAAAAATCAGTGCACACACATACAAATTGTGTTTTGTTTTGTTTTGTTTTAGGGAGGCAGGGGAAGGGATATAGATTTGGATTTCATCATTAATTTATATTGTTCTTAATATCCTTTAAAGGAGTAAAATTTGCCGCTTAAGAATGTATTTTTAAAAGGTACATAGGATTCCTGTGGAAATAAACATGTTATTCTGATACAACTTCATTTATATAGCTATCTTTTGAAGGTAGTCAATATTAAATAAACATATTTCAAGCACTGATGAGATTTTATTGTAACCCATGCCTATCATCTAGCCAGTTTTCCAGCATTCCTTCCATTTATTAGGCAAGTGATAGTATCATGACTTTGTTCTGTGATCCTATCAGTAAATTCTCTAGGTATTTAAGAGGTGACCATTCACAAGTACATATTTATATATTTTAAGAGAGGTTTTTGCTATAGGGTGCATGCAGTTGCTGGAAAGACAGAGAGAGACGGAAAGTGGAAAATCATCTCCAAGGGGGGATGGCCATGCCGCAATCCCTTCTCCTCCATTCTCCTCTCGGGATCTTGGGCACACACACACACACACACGTGCCCAATGTGAGTTTAGGCCACTGGGTCTGGGACTCGAACTGCAGTCGACTACATGGGAGTCCAGCGACATAGCCATTACGCCAACTGCTGGCCTCACAAGTACATATTTATTAAGCTCAACATATATTCAGGGAAAATGTTCTCTCATTTCCAGTTTTGCCCAATTCAGTTCTTTCTGCAACTAATGAGAAAGCTAAAGGCACTTGTTTAGGAGACTTTCTTCCTAAATATTTTTGTGAATGTCCTGTTTTTTTGTTTTGTTTTGTTTTTTGTTGTTGTTTTTTGTTTTTAAGAGAGGTTTTTGCTATAGGATACATATACACTCACCAGAGAGACAAGAGACAGAAAGCAAGAAATCATCCCCCATGGGGGATGGCCCCATTGCAATCCCTTCTCCTCCATTATCCTCTCAGGATCCTGGGCATGCATGCACACGTGCCCAATGTGAGTTTTTAAGTTGCTGGATCCAGGACTTGAACCACGGTTGACTACATGGGAGTCCAGCAATGTAACCATTATGCCATCTGCTGGTTCCAATGTTACTGTGATTTTATGGGCATTAAGAAAAATTTTGAACTGAATTTTTGAACTTAAAAGCTTTAATGTTCTAATTTACTTGAACAATATTTTATAACACACATTTCCTTTAGCACATGTATAAAGTAATACCCAAATCTCAGGAACTATCTGTTTTAAAACTTAACTCTGTAAGGTTACACGGTCTAGAATTTGAGCACATATTTTATATTAAATCAGTTCTTCCTATTACATCTCACTACTCTTCCCCACCCTACCTGAAGATCATATTTTTTCCTCATCTAAAATATTTTTTTCTCATATAGAATATTGGATTTTGATTTTAAATACCTTTAACTCATAGAAAGAATGATTTAATTTTTCAATGGATGGTATTTTGAAAAGATACTTTTATAGTTTGATCAACTGGACTAGGGAGAAATGTTCACATGTTGAAATATTCAGTATGTAAGCTAAATAATGTGACTGAATGTAAAATAGAATATGAAATAAAAAAATGTTTTAAAAAAAGTGAGTCTTACTAATTTGGACTTCATGCTCATGAAATAAATTTAGATACACATTTGACATGTACAGATATTTTATTTCCAGCTCTGTACAAAGGAGTCTTGTGCTTAATTGGCATTTTGGCACCTGATTACAATAAGATTGATTCCTTCATATCTTGATCAGAAAGTGGGTGTGTGTATTTTCATCAAGAACACTGGAAAACTGTTGGATAATAATAATGGTCAAGATTCAGATTTCCTCAAAATAATAAATTTATAATAAATAATAAATTTTGACACTAATACCAAAGTATCAAAATACACATTATAGTTACTTAATAAATGGTTGCCTATAAGTCAGAAATTAATCAGATATTCTGAAAATGTATATGTTAATGTAATATATATGTTAATGTAATATATATGTATATGTTAAATAAAATGTACACACACATGTGTGTACACACATACATCAACACACACACACAAAAACATTCCTGAACTGGTATGTCCAAAAAGCACTGCCCTTTGAAATAACTGTTTGCCAAGTGCTCTGCTTATTCCAATGTAGCCCCTATTGCTCAAACATTTGAAAATTCTCTGTAGCACTGTCTCCATGACAGATGATATGCCTCATAAAATGAGTTTATCTCATTACTCTGTTCTCACAAACGAAAAATTCACTAATATCAGTTCAAAGACAAGTGCATGCAATGTGACCACCAGAAGACTATCTGGTACATGTGTCAAAAGTGTGTAAAAACTGGCATGCCATTCCCTCCTGGGAAAAAATATGTCTCCATGATTATTTTCTTAGTATAAGCAATCAGCTAAAGGGGACCAGCAGGTGGTATGGTGGTTAAGGGTGCTATACTCACTAATGGCCGACCACAGCTTGAGTCCCGGACCTGGTGACTTGCTTTCTTACTCTCTCTCTCTCTCTCTTTCTCTCTCTGGTCAAATTAAAATAAGTAAGTAACTAAAGTTAAATAAAATAATTCTTAAGAAAAAAGAATTAGCTAAAGACTGGCCCTGTAGTACAGCAATTAAATACTGTACACAGGGAGCTAAAACCCACATGGCTGACTATGGTTTGAATCCCGGCCTGAGCAGCTTAAGAAAACATGCTGTGTACGTATGCATGTATGCCAGGACCGGAGGGAGGAATGGAGGAAAGGGGATTGTCTCTCTCTCTCTTTCTCTCTCTGGTGAGCATAAGTGCCCTTTGGCACAAACAAACAAAAAGAATTAACAAAAAGCATCCTCACTGCCACTAAACATGAAAGAAAATAAATAAATGCTTAAAAGACCAGAGGATCAGTTAAATAACTTCAGTCCATTTGTACACACAATGTAATACTAAATGTTATTGATCAAAAAGAGTGACATCAGGGGCCAGCAGGTGGTTGGTGGTTAAGGTGCTGGACTTCCTCATGGCTGATGGTGGTTCAGGTTCTGGCCCTGGAGGCTTAAAAATCACGCCTGTCTCATGTGCATGCAAGCCCAAAATCCCAGGAGGAGAAAGGAGGAGAAGGGATTGTGGCATGGCCACCCCAACTGAAGGATGATTTCTCACTTTCCCTCCCACTGTCTTCTGTCTCTCTCTGATGAGTGCACACTCCCCATGGCAAAAAGTTAAAAAAAAAAAAAGTGACATCAACAACTAGCATTATGAGCCCTTCTTATAGTCAGGTACTATGAATACATAAGATCATCCGATTTATTATACCTTGATCAGTAATGATCATTAGAAAATGTCAGTGAGTTGCCCATGTTTTCCCATAAGGGTAAATCACGGAGCCACTTACTTGTGTCCTGACTCATGGGCAATGGTAAATGCAAGGCCGAGTCCCGTGTCCTCGTTGATGGTACAACTTCGGTACTTACTGCACATCCCACTGATGGGGGCAAACCCTATTGAAAAATTCATTTTAAATGTTAATCCAAAGAGGGAGGAAATATACAGCTATGTGATCATTTCTTTTTCTTTTGTTTTTGTTTTTGTTTTGTTTTGTTTGTTCCCCGGAGGGGGTGCACCATTTCTGGAGGTACTGCAACACCAGGTCAATGCATAGAGTGGATGGAGCAAGCTCCTAATCCACCTCCCTGCTCTAAAAATCCATTTAACATATTGTCCTCAGGTAAGGGACATATCAGATATTAAACTGATAAGAACAGAATCTACACTTGATCTTAGCCAAATGACTGTGAAGCGATATGTGATCATTTCCGATGTCCTCAAAATGTTCTATGTTTTAGTTTAATGGATTAATGCAGTTAATTATTTGTAGGAAAACACTAAAGATGATGTTTTTGGTTCTGCCTAACAATAATATATAAAGGCCGCATCTCATATCTTTTTGTATTTCTAGATATTGTCCTCAATGGATCCTAACTGCTCTGTAAGTCCTGTACGATGATGTTAGTTCCCATTTTACATAAAGAATAATAAGTCTCCACAAATTGATATGCCTTGTCTAAGTTTATTATTTGGGTCAGAGAAACTGACAAAATGATAGGTAATCTAATGCAAAATGTTCATGTAACAGTGGCATTTGTGCCAAAGCACACATTTTCTAAGGGAAATATGCTCTTTTCTAGAGCAGAGAACATGGAAATGCCTACACAATGTGACAAATGTTCCTGTTACCCAAAGATGCTTCCTTCAAAGGGCAGTATAAAACCATGCCAGCAAGCCTTTGATTCTGTCTTGAAATACTTGATAGTGTGTGAATGTCTTTCTTCCTAATTTGGGGTGGTATTAATCAGTAGAACAGGGTGACATATCCATTTATTATTAAATACATGCTTATAAATGGATTATTCTCACCTTTCTGCTAAGATGCAAGTGAGATCACCTGGGAAATTGAGTGTGAAAGCATTATGGTTGGTGCCACGATCCCCACCACCAGCACCACCAGCCTCATCACTAAATAAATGGCTGTCCAATAGCACACGCTATCCTGTACGTCTAGTAAATGTCCATGTGCGCGTGGTTATAGTCACAGATTAGGAAACTGAGGCTCAGAAAGCTGAATTAATCTGCTCAATATCTCAATGTCATGAATTCTAAACTCAGGGTAAGGATGGGCTGCTAAAAGTAAGCAGCCTACAGAACAGTTGGTGGGATTGCAAGTCTATCCTTATATTTTGTCTCCAGTTAGTTAATAAAACTTCTCCTTCCTCAGAACTTCTCTTCGAAACATCAATAATGCATTGGGTTATGTCACTTTGCACATTTGAAACTGAGGACATGAATGAATGTATACCATTCCCCATTATAAAAAAACTCTCTACAGAACTCTCAAAATGGGTATGTGTTATTCTCCTCCAATGAAGACTATAATTAATAGTAAGGTACTAAAATGAGTTTATTTTATAAGATATAATAAAGATATTATAGAGAATTTGGGAAGCACAAAAATAAAGATTTTTTTTTTATAAAGTCCAATCGACCTTTACCACTAATATATCATCAGGGATTAGAAAGCACTTTGAGGAAGAGAACGATGGGTATAAATCATCTAAACTGTTCTCAGCTCCCTAGAAATTTATCATCAGCCTGAACCACCCATGTTGTAAGCAAACTATGGCTCCCACTTTCTGGTTTTGTAAATAAATGTCACTGGAACACAGCCACTTTCATTGGCTCTTGTACTGTCCATGGGTGCTTTGCTCTAGAGCTGTTGAACTGAGTAGCTATGACAGAGACCTATGACCGATAGCCCATCACAGAGAAAGCTTGCACAGTGCTAATTTACACAATTTATTAAGTAAAAAAAATAAGAAAATAATACCAACAAAAAGAAAAACCTATTGAATTCTACAATGCATTGAGTCACTGGAAGAGTCATGATGCATTTTTGCATAGAAAAATGCATCATGACTTTCCCAATGACCTAATATAATGGAATTGTAGTGTAGATATAAAAGATAGCATTCTTTTTTTAAATTTAAATTTATTTATTTGCATTCATTCACTATACATCATTACAGCATACAAAATGAGACTTCCCATTCAGAATACACTGTATATTGGCTCAATCAAGCACATCAACATATGTGTTATCAACAAATAATTTTCTAATTCCTTTTTCCTATATATTTTGCTTTTTTTTTTTTTGTCATCCTTGATTCCCTATCTCTCCCCCCCTGCCGTGTCCCACCTTCCTCCCACATTGTCTCTGGTATCTGTGGTTGCTTTCTATGCCTTCTCCCCCATTTTATTGATTTGCTAATGAACTTAATTAATCTAAATTTTTCCAGTAGCAAGCACAGCTGATATATACATAGCCATGAGCACAAGTCTGAATTTAGGCATAAACCTCAGTGAGTAGAATGAACATACTATAAAGTAGCACGTAGTTGGGGCTATATAGCTTACTGCAGTGCTCAAATATGCATTTTTTTTCTGAAACTTTTTTTTAATTAATTAACGTACATTCATCCCCTAATCATCATCACAGCATAGAAAAAGTGATTTCCCAGCCAGAATATACTATATAGTGGCTTAATCACGTATGTTATCATGAATAATTTTCCATTTCTATTTTCACATATGTATGTGTGTGTATGTGTATATAATATATAAGTGCGTGTGTATATATATATATGTGTGTGTGTATATATACGTGTGTGTATATGTATGTGTGTGTGTGTGTGTGTGTGTGTATATATATATATATTTATATTTACCCCTATGTCTGACCCTCTACCATTTCCCATCCTTTTCTCATACTATCTCTGGTATCTACAGTTGAATTCCATTCCTTTTCATCCACTTTTTATTGATTACACAATTTCTTAAATAATCTAACTACTTTCAATAGCAAGTTCAGCTGGTAATTTCAAGAAAAGCAGGTTTGAATTGGTAAGGAAATTTGCTTAAAACTTAAAGCCTGGAAACAGGTTAGTATTCTGTTCAAATAGCAGGTACATGAAGCTATTGATAGCTCAAGACAAGACAAAAACTCTTAAAACCGCATAACAAAGCCTAGAAGAAAAACAGCAATATTTTAGTCAAAAGTCACAGAATACTATTTCACCAGTTCAGTCTCATGTACTTTATCTTCTGTTGTGATTCGATCTTCCCAATTGAATTCTGGGATATAATATTCAAATCCAGACTTGTCCCTATAATTAAGTTGGCCATTTTCTTAGTTTTTGAACTCTTACTTCTGTGTGACTACTTTTAATTTTCCTGACATAGCACTCCCTTGAGAACTTCTTGGCGATCTGGTCTGGTGCTGGTAAATTCTTTTAGGTTTTGTTTATCTGAGAATGTTCTTGTCTTTTCTTCCCATATGAAGGATAATCTTGCCAGGTATAGTATTCTCAGTTGCAATTGCTTTTCCCTTAACACTTTGAATATATTTTCCCATTCTTTCTTCACTCACGTTGTTTCCAATGAGAAGTCTGTTGTTAGTCTGATGGGATATTCTTTGTAGGTAACTTGTTGTTTCTCTCTTGCCAATCTTAGTATCTTGTCTTTGTCTGTG